TTAAATCTTGCCATTAATTTCGCAATCGCAGGGGAAAGGCCCCATTGCCTTTCTTTATAGTGTGGTCTGGGAAGTGTTCCATGAAAGAAACAATAGCTCCCTCTTTAACATCTCCGTAAAAATGTGGCAAAAGCTTAATATCTGTTCCAGAAAAAAAAAAACTACATAGTCTGGGTCACTAGAAAGATTTGGGTTCATTCCAGCTTAAGTAAAGTAGGTCATCTGCTTAGAACAAGCATAATGTTGTGGTGTAAAGGATAATCTTTGCAGCTTTACTGGCACTTGTGGCAGTTCATCTCTTAAAAGAAGATTTCAATGTCTGACTTGGACAAAGGAAGAGAGCAACTGTGTCTAGATTCTGTGTCTGAGGTACGGTGTTTAGGATGAACCAGTTTGCTGATTTACTTTCCAATGAAGTAATGCTGTCTTTAAGTCCTCATAAAGCTGACAAACAACAAAATGGTTATATTGCTATATGACTGAACAAAAGGTCTAACATACTAAATTACAGAGCAGTAATAAATCAGTGATCAATAATAAAGAGCAGTGATCAATCACTCCAAAATATGCATTCACTGTAAGGATTTCAAGGATCACACAAGGTAAGAGGTTTTCTCTTTCTCACATTTATTATTTCATAGAAAAATTACACTTAAAAATTACATAAGGTTCACACACTATTACAATTAATACAGAATTACCCGAGTCTAGCAGCTTCATACTTCATGTTTACAGTATGTTAAAAATGTTAACAGTCTTTCAGAACTGTACAGTGATGACAGGAGAGAGAGCACAAGCAATCTGGCAGCTGTCCAATGTGCCAGCACAAGGCAATGTGCAGAGGCTTATTCTTCTACTATGTTGCTGGTTTGCAAACACTACAAGAGTGAAAAACAGGAACAGCTTTTTTAAAGCATCTTTATTGGACAACTCAAATTAAATTCCACATTAAAGAGTGTGCCTTCTGTACTTATTGAACAGTGATATACATTGTGTAGAGCTGCAGAAATAGTCACACCCTTTGTTTTAATTGGTTAATTGACTAAATCTCTTAATTGGAATAAACCGATTACTTGTTCCTTTGCAGACTACGCATGCTGACGCAGCTACCCACCTGAACTAAATCAACCAATTCCTAGGATGGGCTTGATAAGCATTCAACAAAATGAAATAATCTGAATTGATATTGTGCTCAATAAATCAGAGAATATTTTATGGAGATTTTGATTATCAATACTTTGCAACAGATATATGCCTGTGTATACACATTCACACAAGGTACAACTGTACACAGTATACACAGATTTTGAGAAAACAGGTGAGCAGTAGTGGCTACTGTACCTCACAATTGAGCTACCTTTGAAACTAGCCTCATTTTCGTATACTGAACAATTAGAATCATACACACATTTAGCCTGGAGATTTATTTAGCCCAATTTTATCTTCTCATAAGGTCGTTTGTTGCTGATGATTTAAATACACCTCAGACACCAGCTGGACTGACATTTTGAAACCCAGCTTCATGATCACAAAAACTTCATGATCGATCTCTTTTTCAGTAACTCAGACTTAAAGGACTAACTTGGTATTGAAATGCCCAGACACAAACTTGCAGTTCTTCTTACCCAGAATATCGTCTTACAGCATTTTACAATCAGTATGTTGTGCAGTCATTTTACAGCACTTTCCTTACAACCATTGAGTAATGATGTGGTTCATAGTTGACTAGTACTGATAACTACCTTGGAAGTTTGTACACAGTATACAAAATCTCTCTTAAAATATAAAACTCTTCTGGTTTTTTTTATACTCCGGAGGCTGCAGCTGTGCAGTTACCTGCTGCTGTTTCCATGAGTTTTAAATGCCAAACTTTGATTATCTGCCAGCTGCAAAAACATCTTCTGAAAAGCTTATTTTCAGGAACTGTATAAAATACTTCATACTGTATATGTTGTTCCTTGGAAAAGATTATATTATATATTTCTGCATTGTGTTTTTTGTGGGTCAATCTTAAAAAAAAGTGCATAATTAAGTAAACCCAAAATAACATCAAAATTACCTGTACCTATTACAACCATGCACTCCAGGGCAGAAGTGCAAAGTAGGGCTTTGAGTTTTGGCTTTGTTATGTACAGGTTGTGGATTCAAATCTAAGTAAAGATTTGAAGGAACGAGTAATAGGTTTATTCCATGCTGCAAAGAGAAGAAAGAAAACCAACATATTTTGGCTGTGGAGCCTTCTTCGGGCGTAAGAAAGATAGGGCAGTCAGCAAAGATAATATAGCATGGGAAAACAGAAGCCAGGAGAGAGGAGGAGGCGGGAGCAGGGGAGAGGCAGAGTGGCCAATCAAGTGGTGCGAGGTCGAGAGAGGTGAGGAGAGGTGTGAATCGAAACCTGCAAATAAATAGAGAGAATTAGGTTTCTTAACTCCTATAGCAGAAAGACATCAGAAACTAAAATTATCCTGAAACTTGGTTCACACCTTCTCCCTGCTCTCAACGAGACTTGTTTTCTTCTTATTCTTTCTATTCATTTTTGGTTGCTATATTATCTTTTCTTACACCCGAAAAAGGCTCCTAAGCCGAAACATTGTTTTTTCTTTCTTATCTTTTCAGCATGGGATAAACCTATTACTTAATCTTTTGCAGCCTACGCAGCCTGAACTACTTCAAGTAAAGATGCTGTTATTATCCCCAGAAAAGTAATATTAAAATTTTAATTCAATTAAAATGGAAGGTAATTATTACCTTCAAAGTTTCAAATCAAAATCCCTAAAATAGGACAGATAATATATTGTAAATCAGAAAGCTCTTTCAGTGTTCCATTTACTGCAGGACAGAATGGAGACTCTTTTAATCTCAGAGTAAAACCTGCTGGCTAGTTTTTACAAAAGTTTAAAAATCAAATATAAAACAGAACTGTCAGTATAGTAAAGGCAGGGTAGTTTCCTCCAAAATAACTGACAAAATTCACTGACCAAGATCCAGATTACATTAATACTTTGACAAAATCAAAGCTACCAAATCCCAGCACTGGGATATTTATTGGCCTTCATGCAGTGCTCTGCTTTGCTGCCTAACTTTTACACAGCCTATCCACCATCCTGCAGTCTGTTCCTTAGTGCGGTACTATGGAACTTACAGATGATCACCTGTCAGTTCATGCTGTTCCATGATAATTAAGTTGGACAATGCCCCAGCAGTCCCATGAGGCTTTGAGTCAGGATGGGATTTTAAAACTGCTCTAATTGAAATAAGTTCTTGGAAATTATGTATTTCATTTATAATGTTTTGTTTCAGTGTAACAAACTAGTGACACTGACTATTGGTTCACCATTCCTTCCCCACTGATCAGACTGAATTATACTTCTTCATCAGGAGATATTGCGCATGTTGAATCAATATAACAACGTTCTACCAAGATTTAATTTAGAATATTGCTCAATATTTGGTCATCCAGATACAAAAAAGATACTGCTGCTCTGGAATTAGTCATAAGGAGAGTAACTAGATACATTTCTTGCCTTAAAGAAATGTCCTAAATTTACAGGCTAAAAGAACTAGGTTTTTAATCTTGAACAGAGATTGAGTCACGTATTCAAACTCCTCAAAGTCATTGGCAAAGTCAAGCCAGAGAACCTCTTCCAAATCAGCAATGAAAACACTACCTAGTAGACACAAGTGGAAAGTATGTTAAAGTGCATATAGGAGACACTTCTTTATGTAAGGGATTGTGTAAATATGGAACAAGCGAAACCAAAACATTAACCTTAACGTGTACAGTATTTGCATATGAAAAATAATAGAGCTATGGGGTTATATTATATATTATATAATTGCATTATAATAGTATTATATTATACCTTGTAAGCACAAATCTTGAGACATACAGTATACTGTAGTGTACAGAGTAATTCTGATAAACTATCACCATATTTAAATGCAAAGAAAAATCCTGTATTTCAGATTGCCAGCTTCTTCTGCTTTATATAATATCCTACAGGTTGAAATGTTTAAACAGAATTCTCTTAAATATTTTTAAATTTTTAAATTTAAGATGGGTCTCGGACTCCTTACCAGCTGCTATTGTTTAACATATCCATACATTTAGTTATTAATAATACTTTGACATTTCTAAAAGTGTTTAATCAACTAAACTGGCCATGCCTTAAAATGTCTACCCTATAGGACACAGCCATAGATCATAGTTCACAATACAATATTCATCTTCTGCATTTCTGAGGTCAGAAATTTCATTGACATGTTTATAATTAAGTTCTTAAGACAAGTTTTGCAATTTCAAAACTCAGTGGAAGCCGTGGAGGTTTGACAGTAATTTGTAATGTAGAAAAGAAACATAGAAACAAGATTTGTTGTTTGAGTGTGCAGTTTCTGTCTAGAGGAAGATATATACTAGGTCTAAATCTTTATTTTTGGAAGTTATCCAGTCATATAAAAGTACAAAAGTATGAGAAACAGGCATACACTGCTTCTTTGTTTTCCAATAGCAGTTTCGTTGTCATGCTGTTCTATTTTGGAGGTTAAATAACAAAACATGTAGAAGTTCTAAACCCTTAAATCTTAAACTAAATTAGCCCTTGAACTTTGCTATTATGTACTGTGATATAATCCTATGTTCAAACAAGTATAGAAGACATTTTACAGTTTTTGTAAAGTTTTCAAATGCTGCATATCATCAGATATATTGTACTAGCTATCTCAAAATTAAACTGAACACCTTTCCTGGTAATAGTATCTTTTTAAAAGGAAGAAGTTTTTTTTTTTCAGAATAAAGAAAATTAATAATTAATTAGCTCTTGCCATTTCAAAATACATAAGAAACAGAACTCTTAACAGACATCTAATTCTATGTTTGCATACAAATATTTATTTA